AAAAAAAAAAAAGAACTTCACAGAAATTTCAGTAGGGCTTTAGTAATAGAACAAAGCATGCTAGTCAATTAAATGGATATCTGAGAATGTTTTATGTGCCAGGTCTGTGTCAGATGTGTATGACAGATGAGGTCCTTGTCCTCAGGATGCTTACAAGATGACTGCGTTTGTCAGTCAGACCCCTATTCTTGGGTCATTTGTTACTTAAGGATTATATAGTCTGCAGACTATATAATGAAGCGGTTAAGCTTTCTCACTCTTTGTCAGGATCCACGTGATTCAGTTCTGTCTTCTTTATGTCTAGGATAGGGTTACATTCCTGAGGCTACCATTGATTTACCAGGTGCCTTTTATGATCTTAGGTTTGTTTATAAAATGCTGGTAATACCGTCTGCTCATCCTGTTTTGTGAAAAGGAAGACACTGTGTAATATACAGACTATTTTGTAAATTATTAAGCTCTTCAAAAATACTTGCTGCCATTTCTACCCTCTGACATTTACTGCTCTGTACTGTCGCGCAGAGTCAGTAGAATGTGCAGTGAGGGCCTGTTGAAGGAGAATGATTTGCTGAGTTTGACTGGAGTACAGAGTTTAAAAAAACATTAGAGATGGGTTAGAGTTTACCTTTTTTGGCTTATGACTACTGATGACTAAATAAAATCATTTCTATGGATTGTGACACAGTAGAAGGAAGAAGCAAAAAACTGAATAGATAAAAGAATGTTATTCCTTTATCAGATGTCCTGAGTAATTTCCTTTTTTGTTTGAAGGATCCCAAGAATTGACCCCATTCACACAGAGAAGACTCTTATCTGCTCTGAGGCAGCAGATAAGCTCATGTTAGCTCATAATCCCATAAAAAGTCTATGCTCCAGTGTAGTCATGGCACTCAGACACCGTAGTAAGGCTCTTAAATTAAGGAAGCTTTGTGTCTGGGTTTTCCTTAGTAGTCTTCACAATGTTTTTTTTCTTTAGAGATCCAACTCAAATTACTGCCTGAGTGCCACCTGGAATAAAATTCAGTGTTTTCTTTCCTTTCTTTTCCTTCACTTGGGAAAGCTTATAGTAGAGTGAAGGAAAGGCACTAGATTCAAACTTTTATCCATGTGGTCACATGTGTCTCTATAAGGTGTTACAAGAACCAGTAAATGATGTTGAATCAACCCTTAAGATTAATTTTCTTATAGGATAAAAGTGGAAAATGAGTAAGATAAGAATTTAAAAGAAAATAAATCTAGGGCTTAATGTCCAGTAAAAATACAAAATATGGCTCATCTCATGATATATCATTTTATTTCTTTATCTCTCATTATCAAAATTATTGTCATTGCCAACAGAAATACTGTATTTGGATAGTTTTGGTTGTAAAACAAGTTTGAGCTGGCAGACAGGTTGACTACTTGCAAAGGTCCTGCTACTCATATTAAGGTACTCATTTGAGCAAGTATAGAATGTTGTAAAGAATTCTGGGGACTCGTAAGTTTACAGTTTTGCATTTTACTCCCTATCTTATTCAGGTGAGTTAACAACTATATTCATCACTGCTCATCGTCCCCTCCCCTCCTCCCCTCCCCCAAAGCTTTCTGGAAACCCAAACTATTGAAATATAGATGTAAGGTGCTACCAACTTGGAAAGAAAAGGAGAAAATGATCCCCTAGACATTCAAAGAAAACCAAACATACAGGAATGTCTTTTATTCCCAGGAAAAATTTAGCAAATAGACCCTCTTCCCAGTGGTGACCTCCATATATAGTCCTCGCCATATTCGCGAGCACTGGCCCTTAAAGACTATGCTGACTGTGTGGAGAAAGGCTCAGTGCTTTCATTGTCTCAGTCACCATCATCGTTTACAATACTCCTATTCAGATCTATCTATTACTAATTATATTCTCCCTGTAATTTCTGTTGACAATTGACAATGAGCATTGAAGGACATACTCATAATTTAGTAGCATCCTGGTCTTTATTCCAAAAGAGTTCTTTGAAACAGTTTTAAGACTCAGAACAAAAGAAAAAAACTGATGTTATCAAGGGATAAAATCTAATAGTGAAAGAAATATCTATTTAAGAAATATGTTAAAAAATATGTTACAATATTCACATTTTTACACTGGCAATGTACAATCTGATCAGTCTTTGTTCTTTTGCTGAACTATTAGCAGGAAGTGGTAATGATTAAGTTTTTATTAAAGTAAAATTTTTCTTTTTACATTGATCATTATTAAGGTAGCCTCCCTTTGACATGTTATTTCACTTACAAATAGAACTTTGCTTTATGTTGTTCTCTTGAGCTTACTTCTAAGTTGGAGGTGGGAAAGTGCCTAATGAAAGAGATTTAAAAGAATCTGAATTCAAGTTGAACAATCATTTTACCTGCAAAGTTTTTCATGCAGTTTACTTTGCCATGAATCCAAGGTATAATCCTTTTTACTTTCCATTTAAAGACTTGGAATGTATCATCATCTGCGTTTCGGTCATTTCACGTGAGTTTTCTTCAGGGGCTGACTTCACAGCACTGGAAACTGATACACTGACTTGACGTTTCAGCATCTTCATAATCTTTCTCTTATACCCTTTACATGCAAAGAAATATATAAAAGGGTCCATGCAGCAATTGAAGTTCATCAGGCATACTGTAAAATGCAGAGAAATCTGGAAGGAATATCTTTGGCTACATATCACATCAGGAAAATAAAGCTTTTTAATCATATGTTGAATAATTGCAACATGGTATGGTGTGAAACAGAGAACAAACACAACAATGATAAAAATAATTGTGTTGAGAGCCTTTTTGTTTATACCAGATTTCTCAGATAGTGGGTTTTGTTTGGCAGTTTTAAAGAGTTTGCAGCATATTTGAGAGTAGCAGATGAGAATGATCATGAGTGGAATCACATATCCTATGAAACATGCACCAAGCAGAATCCAGGGAAGAAATTTTATTCCTTCAAAGTTTGGATATTCCATGCATGTAATCCGTTCAGCCTCCTGCTTTGACATAGGGTTGATGAGGAGTGGGAGTGTTTGCGCAAATACTAGAATCCAGACAAATATGCACACACCTTTTGCATACTCAATCCTTTTCATCTTGTTGTAGCGTAGAGGGTGCACCACAGCAAAGAAGCGGTCAACACTCAGGCAGGTCATAAAGTTCACACCTGCATATGTGTTGATGTAAAACAGTAGAGCAGTTATCCTGCACAAAGCGTCACCGATTCTCCAGTCAAAGCCCATGGCATAGTAGGCTATCCGCGTAGGCAAAGCGGTGGTAAAAAGTATATCAGAAATCACCAAATTTGTTGAATAGAGGGTCGTAGAGTTAATTTTTTTCCTGTTTTGAACAATGACAACCAAGGCTAACAAGTTTCCTACAAGCCCAATGATGAAGACAAGGCTGTAATGCAGAGGCATTAACACCTTGGCGGTGTTGTGGTGTGCATAGAGATCACAGTAATCTCCCTGAGGAGTCGTAGACGGCGTAGTGAGATTGTCAGCCATTTTATATCCGCTGGTGGTGCTCAGGGTCTCTAGAAAAAATCAAAAGCGTTATTTAATTAAAAGCATATTTTTTCAGTTTCACTGCTCATCGGTTAAAAAGAAAAAGAAAAAAGCACATTTAACTCAGAGCAATATAAAGTGTCTCTCAAATATACATATTTATTTTTTTAAATATAAGATTGATGAAATGTTTTAAAAGTCTGTGATATACACTGTGGTTATGTATGTGATAGCAGGAGGAATAGAGTACGAAAGGTATGATTTTACTGTCACAATTTGGTGGTTTTGGCAAAGCCCTGGCAGAGGAAGTAGAACCATCTAACTAGGGCAGTTGTATTTTTGTAAAAAAGGAATGTACTCACTTTTTAGGCAGAAATTCCCCTTTTATGACTCACTATCTGTTAGAGAATAAAATCATATGAAGCACCTCACATTTCAGATGGTGGTTAACTTTAAATTGAATTTCAGTTGGACTTTTTTTTTTTTTTTTTGCGCCAAATGTGTATCACTGCCAGGAAATGAAATCGTCATACATTTATGTAGTGAAATATGAACTTACCACAGTGATCTGATTTATGTTAACCTAAAAATATGAGAAATAGTGTTAGGCCATGTTAGGAACTGAAAGTTAGGTTTTCTTTTAGAAAAGAGAAGATGACAACCACAACAACCGTGACTAAAATGACAAAAGAATAAAAAAGAAAATGAGCGAGAAAAAGCCTTAAGCCACTCCCAGACAAACTTTTAAATTTCTAAACTCCACAGGTACCGTATGGCTGCTCACAATTTATACTCCTGCATTTCACATGGCAGTGAGCATCACACACACAGTATTTTATGTCCTGGTTTAGTCCCTTACCATTTTCATGTCAGTGTAGTCTATGTATTTGTCACATGAGTGTGACTCGAATGTAGACTTTAGACAGATGTTCTGTTCCAGTGTGCTAAGGCATAAGTTGCTCAGCTACTGCCTTCGTGAATAGTTGGATTCTTTCTGATTCATTCCTTGTTATGGATAATGTTAAAACAGAAATTTCAAGTAGTAAGTTGAAAAAATAGAAGACTGCTACAATAAAACTCTGTATGTGAAGGTGAACTTTGATAAAAAGCAGGAATAATCCTGTGTGGTTATTTCTAGAAGAAAAATAATTTCTCTCATAGAACTGTGCGTAAATCTCATCTGGAAGACACCAAAATTAAGGGAAACTTTCAACATATTTAGTGATGCTGCTGCTGCCTTACCCAGATAGGGAAAAAGACTTTCTCTACCCTGACAAAAAGCACTGTCTGCAAACTACTTTTCTAGTTGGTTGGGTGTCTAACATCATTCTAATGACCAGTGATGGTCATGGGCACTAAGGTTATGAAGGATGTGCTTCTATTAGAGGTGTGCATTGTGTACAGTGTTGAGAGGTTAGTCATTACAGTGTAGATATACAACATCAAGCAAAAGACAGCAGAGATGGAAATAGAACATTTTATTACCCAAGAGAAGACCAGAAAAAATAGACTCTCAGTTTATATATATTTTTTTAAGTGAGAGGGTCTCTGTTGCTCAGGCTGAAGTGCAGTAGTGCTCAAGTGCTCCTCCCACCTCAGCTTCCCAAGCAGCTGAGCCTGCAGTAGCTAAGACTACAGGTACCTGCCATAACACTCAGCTAATTTTTCTTTTAATCTTTTTTTTTTTTTTTTAAGACAGAGTCTCACTTTGTCACCTTGGGTAGAGTGCCATGGCATTCCTCTTGCTTTAGCCTCCTGAGTAGCTAGGGGGCTGCAGGTGCCTGCTGCAATGCCGGTTTTGGTTTTAGAGACAGGGTCTTGTTCCTGCTCAGGCTAGTCTTGAACTCCTGAGCTCAAGCCTTCCACCTACCTCGGCCTCCCCGAGTGCTAGGATTACAGGCATGAGCCACCTCTCCCATCCTTTTAAAAATCTTTTATAGAGATGAGGTCTTAACTCTGTTGCCCAGGCTGGTCCTGAACAGTTTAGGTTTTTTACAAATCCAGCTGTGTGCTGCTTAGATATAACTCAAACTGATTTAGAAAGGTTGAGAGAAAGACATAGGAAAACACATACCAGGCAAATCTCAGTAAAAAGAGTAGCAATACTGACACAAGAAAAAGCATAATCCAAGGCAAATTCAACATTAATAGGAATAAAGGGGGTCCCTGTAAAAGCTTTTTTAAAAAGAAGAACCACACACAAAAGAATGCAAAAGTGACCATAAAATACACATGCAACAGCAAAACTTGACAAAATTTGAAAGAGAAACTGGCAAATTCATGCCATAATGGGAGAGCTAATAAGTCTCTGTTAGACTATGCCAGATAAAGAGATTAAAGGCATGGAAGATTAACCCATCATGATTTGAAAGCTAACAGAATTTGTGCTGAAGGCACATGTGCATATCTGCAAATTTGACCACATGCTGGGTAGTCCCAGAACTTTCAGAAAATCATGATTTAGCAGACCACATTGCCTGATAGTGCAGTGAAATTAGAAATCAGTGATAAAAAGATAAAGGATTAATTTTGAAACTAAAAAATATGTTTGTATGGAACTCATGAATTAAGAAAGAAATCACAGTGGAAATTTTGACATTCTTAGCACTAATGACAAAAATACTGCCAGCCAAAACTGTAGGATACAGCTTAGGCTTTAATCTGAAATAGATGCAAAGCCTTGAATACATTTGTTTAAAAAAGAGAAGATTGAATATAGATGATTTAAATATATAACTCAAGAAGCTAGAAAAGAACAGTTTGTCCAAAGAGAACATAAGGAAATAATAAGGTAATTACAGGAATTAATGAAATAGAAAACAAAACAAGACAGTGAAAATGAGCTTCATGTTTTGTGCAGAGAAAAAAATGGAGTAGTTCATAAATAGCAAATTATGAAGATTGCATTGTGGAATACAAGTAATTTTTTTTTCCATTTATTAGGAAAGGTTTTATGTGAGAAGCAACTTTTCAGGAAATAGAAAATAAGACTAGACACCAGGGAGAGGAGAAGATCGCAGGCAAGGATTGCAGCTTAGGTTCAGGCATCAAGAAACTCTTTCATTATTATTTTTCTCAATTCTGCAACTATGGGTTTTTTACTGAAAATATCAACATACATGTTTTGAGGAGTATTTTAAAATAGTTTTGTGGGAATTTCCTTTAAAATACATTTCAGAAAGTTAAAGAAAACTTTACTGTGGTGTCTGAGAATCTTTCATCTGAATAATTAGTATTGTAGGGATTAGGAAAATGACACGATGTGGGACTCAGAGAAGAAGGTGCATTGCTTAACAGTCTGTAATGCACGTCCAGCTGCTTCACTGAATGAGATTGAACTTCCAGTAGAGCCAGAAATTGCCAGGGTTTCAGAACAATTTATGTTTAAGAATGTTAACAGTGTTAACTATTACAAACAATTCCCACATATCATTAGGGGATTGGTTAAAGTTTTTATGACTTAGCCAGACAGTGGGATTTAATGCAACCACCAAAAATGGAAAAATAGGGGTTTATTCCATGATAGGGAATGTTTAGTGAGGACAACTCACTAAACAACTTACCACTTTGTGGGGAGATAAAGCAAATACACCTTTACACATACACAGAAAGATGCCTATGTGGATATGCTAAAACATCATATTATACAAGTAATTTGGGGACTGTATTCATTTATCCTACATTTTCCCCCCCAGACAGAGTCTCATTCTGTCACCAGACTAGAGTGCAGTAGCGCCATCATAACACATTGCACCCTCAAACTCTGGCTCAAGCCATCCTCCTGCCTCATCCTCCCAGAGTGCTAGGGTTACAGGTGTGAGCCACTATGCCTGACCTATTCTAAATTTTTAATACTGACCATAAATTGACTGAAATGAATAAATAGGTAAAAAGTTTTTAAAATCTGTGTGAAATTTTTAATTCAGCTCTTCTTATAAAAACTTCGTCATCTAAGATACTTTTCAAGCTTTCTGTTCAGTGTTCTTAATTCAGATTTATGCATTAAGTTACTGGGTGCTTACCTTTAAATCAGTCGTATAGAAACCTCACAGCAGCCCAAGTATTGCTGTCTGCTACCTACTTTGCAGGAAACTGAGGGTTCAAGAGGTTAAAGGTTATGCTGGATCATACTCTGTGATGACCTGCCTTCAGATCTGCTCCTCTGTTCGATCCTTTGCAGGGGCAGCTATTTCTTGCTGCCCTTGAAGAACTGAGGGTTTGAGGTTTCAAAGTGAGGCTTTCGGGGCAATTCCTTCTTGTAAATACAGACAGCACAGGCACAATATGGCCCAGCTGCTCCAGAACAGAGGGACAACTCCTCCTAAGGGCAGGGAGTGCCCACTGCCCGAAGAGGTGCCTTCCCAGGTTGGAAGGAAGCCACCCGTGTCCACTCCTTGTAGAGCCCTGAAGGGAGGCCCATCGAGGGGTCCTCTTACATGCTGGAGTTGGCCAAAGAAGCGGCACTTGTAGAATGTAGGCATGTAACTAGGGTGGCCCCGGAGGTGAGCTTGGGTAAACGAAGCTCGGTTATTTCAAAGTCCGTTCATGATGTTTAGAAACCTCTCAAAGGTTGATTCCACTGGGTAACTCTAGTACGTCACTTTATCTCTTGCTTATGTCTGTCCAGTTATGTTAATGCTATAATGTTCTAATGCAGTAGTTCTCAACCTTCCTAATGCCTCGAGACTTTAATACAGTTCCCGTGGGTCGTGACCCACAAGTTGAGAACCGCTGTTCTAATGCTATAGTTTTGGCCAATTTTATGATCTCCAAATTGAGGGGAAAATCTTTTCATGTACTTGACTGTTGTTATTCCGTTCTTACATCAGCCAATCTCAATTTATGAGAATCTTCCTCAGAGAATAACCCTCAGAGAATCTTCCTCAGAGATTACTTTATACTTCCTTCAATCATCTTATAAATCACCTTCCTGAAAGTTAAATTAACTCCATTCTTTCATTCAGCAAAAAGTTGTTTTTAATGCCTCCATTGCTAGATAGATCCTGAGAATGCTGAGATGATACCTTTT